CTGCTGCTACTGCTGCTACTGCTATGTCTGCTATGTTGACTACGACGACGACAACTAACACGACGTTGCCGCAGTGCTGAAGCGCACATGTACTGCACCAGACATGTATCAGCTGTCTTCCGAGGATGATTTCATGATGAGTGTTGCCTCTTAGCTGCAGTTGCCCTCTGAAATACCTGCAATGCAGGAAAGTTGCTCACGAGAAAGCGGGATCCAAGCACCTTTCGGCAGGTTGTGCCGTGCGCCGGCCGTGCAGAAAGGGCAAGGCGCGGGATCGTGATTGACAGCATCTGTCACTGAACAGCATGCTCTCTCTGCGTGAGGATCAAGCAGAATTTTCAGATGCACTGCAAGCGTCGAGACCCGCATTGACCTCAGACGAGCAAGTAGCTATTGTCATGGACCATCAGCACCACTGCTGGATTCGCTGCTGGAAGGGGGCCATGACCGCTTTCTAAGCAAGATTCGAGAAGCGGTGGTTCCGCCCAGCCGCGATCCTGAAATCCCGGGTCCCCAGAACCTTGCAGTTGCCAGAGGCTTCGGCCCCCTGATGCCTCAGAGAACCTGGCTGAGTACAACAGGATGGAGGAGGGCTTTGATGACCTAGGGATCTGGGAAGAAATCATGAGAGACTCCGGTAGCAGACTGCTCCCCCGCAGAGATTTGAGACACTTTGAGGTTTTATTTGTAGTCACTATAGCCATCCTGCTGCAGCGTTTGTTTCGGTAGCTCAGCAGTTCAGGCAGTTCAGGCTCAGCACGAGGTTCTGTGACTGGGTTTTCGGACGAATGCTCCAGACTCCAAACGTTTCGGTTACAAGGCCAGGGCCATCATGTCGCGCACGAGCATCTCTGAGGTATGAAAGATGTCAGAGGCTAGACTGGAGTCAACGGTTGAAGGTGCAGGATTTCGACAAAACCTTCGCGGTTTCGTAGGTCTGCGCTGAATAAATTTGTGTAAGCCACACCGCAGAGCTGGAGAAGCTGAAAGCTTGACATTGGCACGTCTTCACGACCCTGGACAGATTTGACGCACTGCGACAGTGCAACAGTGGTCCGTGCTGTGCCCTGCACGCCCGAAGCTTTCCACCAAGCACCCGGACAGCCCCCAGTCGAAGATCTCTTGCACGTGCCGAAATGCCTGCATCACCAACCTGTTACTGTGACGACAGAGCAATCCGACAACTCGCGGTGAGACACCGCGCCAAAGAGCGGAATCGAGAGGCCAGGCAGTGTGGCCCGGAGCGCGACTTGCGATCTGCGAGAGCAGAAAAGTTGAAAACTAACAACAGGAAGGTTTCTACTGCAAAGCCGCGACGTCGAACGACAAGCAATGACCATCAGCAGACTGCATGCATGGATGCCAATGTAAAAGAATTCCGGATCCTGGCCCGGACGTCCTTGAACCCGAAAGCTTCAGTCCAAAGCCTGAGCGCAACAGGATCTCATCTCGAAGATGGAGGCGGCGGCGAAGTTGAAGGAGGTCGGAATCGACTAGCTGCGTATGTGTGCATCTGTAAAGACGAGTAGCTCTGTGCTCATAGTGTGTCCGCGGGGAAAAAAGCAGCTAAGTGTGTGGCGGATGTATGCTGCGAAGATGGAGAAGCCTAAACGTGCGCGTCACAGAAAGAGAAAGAGCAGGATGAGGAGGTGGGCAGAAGACTGGCAGAAGAGTGACAGACTAGACTGGCAGCAGTGATAGCGAGTGCGTACCGTCGCGTGAGTCAGTTCCATGTCAAAGCGTGCATCTCATGCATCCTCAAAAGCACCATGAAGGGATGCAGCAAGACCGCCGGACATTGCTGAACGTTGAGTGTGCACACTTTTTCGGTTTGTGTGCGCCTCTCTGTGTGTGTCTGTGCGCGCGCGCGCGTGTGTGTGTGTGCTTCTGTGTGTTTGTGTGTGTGTGTGTGTGGGAGTGTGTGTGCGTGTGTAGGTTTCTATTTCTATTCTGGTAGGAGTTAAGTCCAACACTTGTGCCAAGACACGATGGTACGAAGACCCCGGTGGTCCCCAAGCTTTGCTGCTGTTTGTCCAGACTCTGAGGCAGTAGAGTTTGTCCAGTACAACATAGTGGCCGATGCTCTCAGAGCTTGTCGTGCCTCTCGGCCAGGCACACAGCCGCCGGCGAAGTTCTGGGGATGACTTGAAGTCGCAGGTGCGAAGTGTCCAGCTGACTTAGTTCCGTGAAGTGAGCAGGTCTTGTGCATTTGTATTTGACCCCCAATCCCTCCCTGCCACAAGCAAGTACATGTTACGGAAGACTGGACGAGCAAGAAGTACCTTCTGCATCTTGCCACGTGAACCAAAACGATCGTGCCTGAAGCTACCTGACAGCACCTAGGCCCTGACCCCTTGTGACTTCCGAAAGTCCCAAACAGCCAACATCCACTAAATCCCATGAGCCTGGAAGACTCCTGGCCGCTTGGAGGTGACTGCATCCTTCCAGCAGCACTCTCGGTTCCGGGCTGGTGGCTGCCATTCTTACTGTTTAGCCATTATAATCACGTACCGCTTCTGCCGGATTCACTTTGCTTTGGAAGTACGGCTATCTGGCTGTACCCATCGCTATTGCCTTTCGCTGGCGACTACGACACTACGATTTGTCAAGTCGTTACGACCTTTCTGACCATGCTGGCCTGTAGGCGTTGACCCATGCTGTGCATCTTTCAGGTGTGCTGGCATCAAGTTTGAAGGCGACGCCCTGTCCGAATTCATGGCGCGGCCTGCTCAGACTTGGAATCGTGGAGCCGAAGCTCCTGAACCTTGAGTTCTAGATTCTAAACCGGATGCAGCTGCAGCCTTTCTTCCATCGCCAAGCGGCTGCTTTCTTAGTCGATTCCGTTACTGAGGTTCGATCCCATCTTCGAGCAGCTCTCTCTGATGTACTGTGTGACAATAGCATCTTGGCTGCTCGTGTTGAAGCCTGGAAGTGGAAGATCCCCAAACTCTCCATCCTGAGTAGCCCTCAGCCTTCGATGATGTCACCTGTTGCGGCATGCATGATCCCAGCAGAACTCAGAGCGGGTTGCTTGAATGCAAGCGTTTGCGTGAGAATGTCAAAACCCCACCACCCAAACAATTCGAGGCAGAGGGTGGGGACAGAAGAGCCGTCATGGAGACGAGCTGGAACAGCGTCCGCAGGACTGGGCGAAAGATCATAATCCTGCTGCAGCAGCAGCAGCAAATCTTCATCGTCATCTTCATCATCTTTGTCATCATCATCATCATCATCTTCATCTTCTTATTCTTCTTCATCTTCATCTTCTTCTTCATCATCATCATCAGCATTAGCATCAGCATCGTGATCGTTATCGTCGTCATCATCATCGTGGTTAGCATCAGCATCAGCATCGTCATCGTCATCATCATCATCATCAGCATTATCATCATCATCATCATCGGCAGCAGCAGCAGCAGCAGCACCACCACCACCAGCGCCATCGTCATCGTCATCGTCGTCATCACCATCATCGTGATCGCATCACGGAATCGCACGCGACTGTTTGCTTCCACCCGTGTGACTATAGGTACTGGTTTGATTCTTGTAGCTACTCTGGCATCACTACCACAACTATTGACAAACAGTATATTACTCGATAGTGTTCGTGGTGGTGGCAGTAGTAGCAGCAGTAGTAGCAGGAGCAGCAGGAGCAGCAGGAGCAGGAGCGGGAAGAGGAGGAGTAGCAGCGGCAGCGGCAGCAGCAGCAGCAGCAGCAGCAGCCGCAGCAGCAGGAGCGGGATTTTTGTGCGCACAAATCACTTGACAAGCGCATGCAGCGAACACACTGGTGTTAAGTGAGTGTGTATGCAACCGCTGGTCGCACGTCCTGCTGCACACCCAGCGCTTCCTCAGCCTGGTGGAGTCGGGCAGTGAGTGAATCGCCCTTAGCTTTGACGTTCGCTCACAAACTCATTCTGGTTGCTGAGGAACAGGGCTTCAGTTGCATTGTTTTAGGAGTCGCTGGTCTGTTTGCCGCTCCTGCTACATTGGTGCTCGTTGGGCAGGGTACTGGTTGGTTCGTGTAGGCGCACAGCTAATTCGTGTTCTTCATCAATTCGTTCGTGAGTAGTAGTAGTAGTAGTAGTAGTAGTAGTAGCACTAGTAGTAGTAGTAGTAGTAGTAGCAGCAGTAGCAGCAGCTGCAGTAACTCCTACTTCGGCTTCGACTCCTATTGCCACGGTTACTGCTACATAGCGGGGCTGCGGGGCCTTCACTTTGCACACATAGTGTTATGATTTTCCGTGTTAAGGGTTTCCGGGGTCTGGGTGTAATCCAGATTCAGATACTGGCCAAGATGCCGCTGAGACCGGCGCAGGGCCAAACAAACCTGTCACAGGTGCGCAGGGGCAGATTAGGCGCGAAATCAAAGGTGGACGGGGGCCTGTGCAGTACGTTTCTCTTTGACAGCATTCATCATGAAGAAGCTGGTCCTGAGCTTTGTGGGCTATCTTTATTGCTGTGACCGTTTCAGCTCAGCCAAGTCAGCCGAAGATGTTGTTCTACGTTCGAAAGATCAGTTCGCTCCTCTTCAAGCTCCCCACCTGACTCTTGCTGTCAAGCAGCCACAGCTGGCCTTGCGCGAACAGCTATAGATGCAGAAGCATTTTATCGTGGGATGAGAGGGTTGTCTCTTGACTCGGTCTGCTTTCAAGCACAATGACAGTCTCAAGCGGCAAGAGTTCTGTAGTGTACCAATGCAGGAACATGTTGAGGAAAGCGCTGTTGGAAGAGCCGGAAGCTCATGCTCAAAGAGTCCATGTCCCTGCGAGTTGAATCAGTCATGGTAGCCCACATGAGGGATCATGAAGGAACCCGCAGATTCAAGCTGGATTGCCTCCTAGCCTTGCAACCCAAAGCTCTCGAGTGCAAACAGTGTAAACTACTGAGATTCCATGCTGCACAAGGTTGTATCCGACGATGTGGGCGGAAGTGAAGGCCTATGTTTAGGAACAGGCTTTCAGCGTTGTCGAACTCTCCTGGCTCCAAGAATGTGTTCCTCTCGCAGAGATCGAGTTTCGCTGCCCTTCAAGGAAGTACCGGTTCCCTCGGTTCGGTTCTGTGGGCTTCCAGCTTCAGGCTTACTTGTGGTTCAGGCAGTTCAGACCGCGAGCCCGAGCCCTACAGTGAAGAGATGCCCTTGAGCAGGACCACCTGGCCAGGACGGCCAGTGCCGTGGTTTGCCGGGACGTCCGAGAAAGGCGCCGAAAGATAGCTGAGACAACAGGTCACGTCCAGATTCATGAGGGTTTGTTTTTGATTTCGATCGACTGCCTCTCTGTTGACATTAAGTCAAAGTGGATGTTTCCCGAGTTGCATCAGTAAGGTGCGTATTGTACAATGTGTCGTGAACTGCCCCTACTGTTCACGAGCCTGGAGATTGCGATGCTTCTGACTGACATACGTGTTCTTCTCATATTCCTGCTCTTGTTGATGACGATGATCATGATTGCTACATGTTGCCACGCTTCCTGCTTAGAATCCGCGTGTTGCGATGATTGTGGTTGTGACCGCACAATGCCACTACTGAGTGGTATGTGCCAGGCTCACGAAGATGGTGGACATCAAGCCTCCTCCGGACACAGACAAGAAGCTGGACGAAGCGGAGGACAAAGTGAACGACCTGAGACAGGCGGGGCATCCGGAGTCGGGATGTGGGGATTGTGGTACAGGCCAAGGAGCCAGGAGGAATTCAACCCTCAATGCTGTTGTAATGGCGACGAATGGCCGATGCGACGAGGCCAGGTTGAGTAGCAGGAAAAGCTGGAGCAGAAGGAGGAGGAACAGGAAGACGAGGACCAGGAGGAGAGGATCGACCATTGCAGCCACCGCTGTCACGACGACTGTCACCACACACCACGCGCATTAATCTGACGAGTGCGAGGACAACATATTGGTCCTTGATCCTTTGTTTGCTTACGATTATCCCCATGACTGATTTCTGCTTGCTATAGCATTGCGAGTGTTTTCACTGTTTTGTATTGTGGCTGCGTTTGTGACTCGTTTGTCGGCCAGACTCAGTGTTGTTGCCATAGGGCTTCGATACTGTGGTGAATGCTAAACCCTGAACCCCCAAAACCTCCTAAAATCCCTAAATGCCGAATGCTCCTTTCGAGCTTCGACGTCTTCGTGTCTTCGTGTCCGATCGCCGAGGACTCCGACGACGAGGCGGCGGCGCAGAGGAAGCGGGAGGCCGGTGTTTGACAGCCTAGAAAACAGGGAAGTTTTCAGGGGTTTTGGGGGTTTGAGGATTTAGGATCCACGGACCAGCATATTTAAGGCTTAAGACTTTGAGGTTTTGGCGTTCACAGCATTTCTGGAGTGGAGAAATGCGTGAGGCCTGTAGCTGTCTGCATTCGTGCTTGAGGGTATTGGGTTGAGGGCCTGAGTACATACATCCCCACCCCCCTCCATCCCCAATCACCTCAGCAGGAAGCGAATGTGCGCGACAAGAACCGCGGAACTTTTTCCGCTCAATTCCGAAAGCTCGAACATTCGGTTCTCCCAGGATAAACCCCAGAACTTCAGAACCTGCCGCTGAGAGTTTTGAGACAGAGTGTGGTACGAGAGTGTAGTGGCTTGGCGACTTGACGTGTATCGGACCAGAGTTCCGAAATTAGGATACATCCAAGCGTCCAGGGTGTGCCTGTTTGCGCTTTTGCAGCATGCTTGACTCACACTGGTGTGCACAAACCCGCTTCACGCGCCAGCATCCTCCCGACCCGCCAACCCAAGAAAGTCATCGCCAAATCGATGGCTATTAGTGGTGGCTTTGTGGACTGTAGATGTCAATGGCAATCACATGGGGGATCATGGCAGGGCTAGATCGGCTAGATTGGTAAAGGTCAACGCAGCCTCAACGCTTCGTGCTCTTCGGTCAGGCTTTGAGAATAGTTTTGTTTACAGTGGCTAAGCGGCTAAACAATTGGGAATTGCGGGAGGCGGAAAAACCACACAAAAGAAAATGTAAGGCCTCCTGTTTTTGCACAAGGTGTAGTGGTACAACAGGCGGGATGCAGCGGGATCTAGCACATTTAGTGCAGCATCAAGGCGAATGCCTGAGATAGGACCGAAGCCAACAGATGATGTTAGATGTGGTGCTAATCGTTCTGATCTCGGAAGTACTCTGGAGCGGCGATACCTGGTTTAAGCAGTCTTCAATTGGTGGCTATGTGTTGAGTATAGGGGCCGAACCGTTAAAGAGGTGCACAGGGGTTATCAACTGATCGTACCAGTTTTGCGCAGACAGATGAGGGTACGACCAGCTTGTCTCATGAAGCTCCGACTGCCACTTGGCGCGGTTCGCTCATCATGAATCTGGTGGACCTCGGGCCATCTTGGTGGCTGCGCGCCAGCCATGATTCCCTGAATCCCACTCTCCACGCACAACCGTGCAGCACTGAAGCCCCGCACCCGACAAACCTGGCAGGATCCGAGCCTCTGGGAGAAGGAGCGGCTAGCCCGCAAAGCAGGTCTCCATTCGGCCCTGGTGATCCTCCCTGAGGCTGGCAGGTTGAGTTAGTGGCGTGTCCGCTTTCGTGACCCTACGCTCGGCATGCGTGGCAGGAGCTAGCTTAGAACAAGTGCTTCATTCCTCTCCGCGAAGCCAGCAGTTGCCTCATCGGCTCGAGATACCGACAAAGTGCATACAGAGGAGGAGGTGGGAGGAGGAGGAGGAGGAGCGGGGGGGAGGGACAGGAGGAGGCGGAGGTGGAGGAGGAGGGGGAGGAAAGTAAGGACAGGGAGTTACGATCCCATGTGATGCGCCCGCATGATCGCCGACATAAGCAAAGTGGAAGCGATTATGCTCCTGCAGGACAACCATCCTCAAAAACTCGATCTCCAGGAATCCACTGTGCTCATGCAGGGCAGCCATTCTCAAACACTCAAACTGCAGTGAGGGCTTAGAGCAGAAAGCAGTAGCATGCCGCCAACGGACCGTGAATCTCGAATGCCCAAGCTACCACTGTAGGACCGGAGCTACAGGTGTTGGGCCTTCAGCTAGGACTAGGAATTTCGGCAGCCATGCAAGCTTTGCAATTCCGGGGCGCTTGCAACACAAACCTAAAACCCCGGGAAGAAGGTTGGCATTGACGTGGAGACAGCCATCGTGGGCTTCGTGAATGCTTTCGGCCAGATCCCCGAAGAAGGAGTCGTCGGAACTTGATCCCGAAACCTAGACTTGCAGGCAGGATGCGCTCCGCAAGGCTGAACTCCGCCCACAATCCTGAGGAAGCAGAGATGTCGTACATTCGCCAAACAGTCGTTTGACTTTCAGGCTTCGGTGTGTACAGCACATGAACCCAATATAAGCCCTAAACTTAGCCTGGCACCCAGAGCGAGCGGATCGCCCAGGTGAGCCGGTTGACATGAGACAAGTCTTCAAAAGCCTGGCCTGCACAGATTTTTAACCGGATTTCGGAGACTAGTTCGATTTCGTGGTTCAGGGCTAAGGCGTAAAGGTATACAGGGTTACACTCATGGAATTGAGGCTCCCTAGTGTGGGTAAATCTTGCGGGCAGAGGCATGTGGGATGATTTCTTGGCGCGTCCCTGCAGGTCCCTAAAGCTACAAATGCTGCGGCGTGCATCATGCAGAGCAGCTGTTGTCTCGTCTTCTGTCTTTCCATGGCACCACTTGCATCATCTGACCGTCTGAAAGGCCTTCTGAAGTCATAGTAAACACTTGAAGAGATGGTCTTGCAACGCCAAACTGTTCTGTCCGGCTCCAACTTCTGGTGCATGTCTGCATTTGTCTGCATTTGCTGTTTTCGTTTTCGCCGCAAGGGGACATCTCGAATTGGCAAGGCTGACATGTAGACATGCTGGCGAAAATCTCTGCTCTGAACCACGAATCCCACTAACAACAGCAGCGGAGAAATGCCTCCGACCCTGGGGTCCAGCCCACCTCCAGCAGGTGCAGGGATTGGCGTCCCAAACCTCTTCCCATGATTTTGCTAGCATCGCAGGCTCGTGTTGCAATACCATTCCCTGACCCCCTGCACAGTGAAAACAGTTGAGAAGCGAAACCGCAAAACCAATTTCAGTCACTCTGTTTCGGTACCTTTGCTGCGGTGTTAGCACAAGGTTTCATGTGCCTGTGCAGCAACAGTCAGAAATCCGACACTGGTCACTGGTGTAATGCGCGGCAATTCACAGGATTGGTTGGTTTCTTGACGCTTGGGCGGTAGTTGCACGGCTTTTGTCCCTTGTAGAGGCTTTTGGGGCTATCTCATGCATCAGCACAGTGGGTCGTTTTCGACGGTCTTGGGCCACCGAGTTACAAGCGCTAGGCAGAGATTAATGTACTGCTTTATTGGCAGTGGCCCCTTAAAGGCTCTGCTCAAGAATCACTTGCAGCCTAGACAGCGTGCCGAAGAGGGACACTTCACGTGGCCAGGTTGCTTGAAGATCCAGCACAACCAAAGCAGGTATGAGAAAGGGAGTGACGGACCAAGCATTGCGCTACGGAAAAGGTAGCCTTGTTTTCAGTTGCGTTTGATAGCTTGGCGTGTCCTACCACAGAGTGAAGGTACCGCGACTAGCAGGCGGCGGATGTATCTGCCATGCAATCCACCGTCACTATTGGCGTGTTGCTGTGCTCCTTGATTTGAGCATCCGGCTTCGCTTAGTAGGTTCAGGCATGTAGAGCCATGGAGCCCGTATTTCGTCATCACCGTCCCAGGTTTCAACTACGACAAGGATCAGAAGATTTTTGAACACAAAGTGGCAGACTCAGGGCGAACTGAAGTTGACAGTGATGCTTGACTTCATCTTACAGGTGCCACTTCCAAACAAGAGACTTGTCTCGTCTGTGACAGGATACCCAATATCTGTCTTCTATGGGACCCGACGGAACTGGCAGTCTCGTTGGAGGTATGTTGCGATTTGAGGTGCACGGTTTGAGACCATCATCCGAAAAAAACGCCCCACTGACCCCGTGCCCTGCTCCGGACACATTGCTTTGCAACCAGAACTACAGCACTGGCCGGGCATGGTTGAGATTGCATAGGGACCTATGGCCCAACAATCCTTCGTTGTGTTGTTGGTGCCCTGGAGTAGGAAGGGTCGTACGGCTGTAAGACGAGAACCAGCAATGGCACCAGCAGGTTAAAACAACGTTGCTAACAAGAGATCGTCAACTTTATTCTTCGATCTACCTTGGCAGACGCCGCGTGAACACGTGCCCAAACTCTGCCGAGCCTCTGCGAATTTAGCGTGCTTTCCACCATTCATGGATTCCAGGCTATCGTCGAGAACTTGATCGCAACCCACAAGCCTTCTTTTGTCCCTGGCTCGGGAAAGTTCAAGTGCAGTCTTCCTGTTAGCATATCGCATTGATGGCCGTTTCAGAATGGGTGTTTGGCGAGGTTGCGATGATGCGACGCGTTCGTTGATCAGAGAGAAGAAAAACCACCCTCTTAAACCCTCAAAAGCGATTTATGCTTTGATGCATCTCTTGCTAAAGTCATGCGGACTGCTAGATCCTGCTGGCGGTCACGGATCCGGAAATCATGCGCTTGAAGGCAGCCTGCAAAGCTCGGGGTGTTCGGCCTTTCTGTCCGGTATGCATTTGGAATCTCATCGTTTCGGGCAAAACAGTGACTAATCATAGCAATCGGTGAGGCCGGGGTTGAAGATCCGCTATCGGACGGTTCTGACACCATGCTGCAGGGCTGTAGGAGGTCTCCAATATGCCCGTGGCGGCCCGAGTGCTCCCTGAAGCCTCGGAGGCTTCCCTGGAAAATTTGCTTAACCGCGAGCAGAAGATCCTGGTGGGAGCCCAGGATCCGCAACTTTTGAGGGAAGAGTCTTCTTGCCAGTCTCAAACGGGCCCATTGGGACTTGTGGAGGATGGAGGCTTATAGTGGCGCATGTCAGGCTTGCAGACTCCTTGGTACAAGAGACACCCAGACTCAAACCCACCAGACTGAAAGTTTTAATCGGTGCTTCTAGGATTTTAGAACCTTTTGCCACAAGCATGTGTTCCGTATGTGACTTCACTTGTAGCTGAGGCAAACCTGAAAGTGTTGCCGAAGATCAAATTCGTGGACCCCACTGTGTGCGTGACCCAGTGCAGGGGAACCGTGGCATTTAGGGCGCCTGCGTTTGATCATGAACATACAAGCAAACCGCCCAAGAGGACTCATGATGAAGCCCATCGTCATGAGATCTCAAATGCTAAGTTTCCTGCTTTCCACGACAAAAGCGACGATGGCTTCTGCAGTATAGTGCCGTCCATGTCAAGAGGTGCGACAAGCGAAAAGCAACATTGACGATGCTCACCAACGAGCGTTCTCATCATCATCATTATCATCATCATTATCATCACCATCATCATCACCACTATGGTCTTCATCATCACCATCATCGTCATCATCGTCGTCATCATTGCCAGCATCATGCTGACGCGGTCATCAGAGTCATAGTTCATAACGTGGGTGATGGCCATAGTGTGGTAGGAGCCGTGGTGAATATTCATCACCATCATCGTCATCGTCATCATCGTCGTCATCATTGCCAGCATCATGCTGACGCGGTCATCAGAGTCATAGTTCATAACGTGGGTGATGGCCATAGTGTGGTAGGAGCCGTGGTGAATATTCGTCACAACATCACTGCTGTGACAGTGACAAACGCCAATGGACATTACGAGAACTACGACCAAGACAAGCATTACAACTGCAACATCAACATACGCAGCAATGATATTTCGGGTACCGCTACGACAACTACTACTGCTACCGCTGCTGTTGCTGCTGCTGCTGCTGCTCTGCTACTACTGCTAGTCCTCACCACTACTACTACTACTACTACTACTACTACCACCTTCCCACCAGCCATGGGCCATGAACTGAAACGCTCGATCCCAGACCCTGACAGCACTAAAAAAGAGAACTACCACCACTATCGCCACCGCGGGCTACCGCTACTCTACTACCACCACGACCGCTGTCACTGAAAGTTTGTCCGGAAGGGCTTGTATTCTGCGTTGCCGGTTTGGCTGGCAGATACAGTTGAGCTGACTCTCTCATGTGTGCCCAGGCCACGTGCAGTCGCCTATCACAAGCGTGTGCTGGAGTCCCGTGCATCCCACAGCTCTCTGCAGAGTCACGAAGAGTTCCGGCTGTAGAGTTGTGGGGAGCACGATTGGCATTGCTATGCACTGCTAACCTGTTCGGGATCGGATTTGCTTTAATTACTTACAGAGGTATCTTCGTATCTAAGTGTGCGGCAGAGGGTCGGTCATTGAACATGTTTCGGGCCCGAAACCTAACCACAGAGGTGGCTAAACCACCTTTCCGCTGCTACTCGACTCAGCTGCCTACCGCGACTTCCCGACGCCAGCGCATCGAATCGCCATCAGCTGCGCCCGATTCTTCCAGGACTGGCATGGTGGTGCCTGAGTTCGTGTTTCTTGCTGAGTCGCAATATATGCAACTGATGGAGCATTGGAATCGAAGGGGCTTTCGCACCACAGGATCCATTGGCGGAGACCTGCCAGCTCTGGCATGAGCTCCCTGATGAGAATGGTCCAGGGCCCCAGACCTGTAACATGCTGGAGACTTTGAGATGTCCGTGAGCCGAGCTCAAGTCTGACTGCTGCACACGAATTGGTTTAAAGTTTCAAGCAAGGGATCGATTTTGAAGGTTTCATCAGTCCCTGCGAAGTCTTGAGATTTTTTCCAACGCGTTCACATGTCGGGTAGTAGTCAGATACCGATACCGTTAATGGAAGTAGGTGCCTGAGGCCTAACACGAATCAATTGTAACAACGCCGAAGGTCTCTTCAAAGTCAACTTGCACCACCTTCAGCACGATGTCCCGCGGGACCTGTGCTTGAGTTTGGTCTCGCCAATCTCAGTAAGATTTCGATTGCACCCTGAATGCAGCCATTCTAAATATCCTTTGTCGCATCCGGGAAGCGCATCCCGCTAGGTGCATGGAGGGGGGGGACAGGGGCATCATACCGTTTGCAACGAATCCCGAAACCCATACGTGCCACATCAGTATCCGAATCACTGCGGCTCAAAGCCCTCCGGCGAGGCGAACATGACAAGAGCCCAATTGTGCAAATCCTGGATGAGGCATGTGTGCACAGACTTAGTTGTAGTATACATATGCATGCATCAGGTAGATAGTAGAATGGATACACATTCCACCCACCCACCGACCTGGCTAGCCAGCTATCTATCTGTCCATCTGTCCATGTCTATGTCAAACTTTCTGTCGTCGGGCCGTCGGTCTATCAATCGCAAGTATGAATTTGTTGAGCCTTTGCCTGGAGTGCGCACAGCTGACGAACGGAATTGGTACGGACCCTTCCGAAACCTTTCGCCTCAGGGAGGGCACGAGACTAAGTTGCGTGAAGTTCAGGCCTCCGGCCTGTATTCGGGTGACTGGAATCTTCAAGGGAAGCGTCGTGCCATTCTAGTCCATAGGTGCGCACTGTTGTGTCTACACATACACAATATGTCTAAGCACAAGTACCGCTTTTAGCCTACACGAACAAATGAAACAAATTTTGTCGTTTCTTGGAGTTCAGGTTGAATGCGGTGGGTTGGCCATGCACGTGGGCGCTCATGCACCCAAACGTTCCTTTCCTGAATCCTGCACCCACGGCCCAAAAAAGCAATCAAAAAAAAGGCATGACGCATGTCATTAAGCGATATTAAGCGGAGGGTGCTCCTCACAGATGGGTCCCTGAGAGGTCGCGCACCACAGCTGGGATCATCATGCCACATTTTAGGCACTGAGACTGAGTATGCACACTCTGCGGCCATGCAAAGCTGGAAGCAACTATCCAAGCAAGAACGCCAAGGCACGGAAGATACGTACAGGTCGAGCCTGGCAGATGCGACACGAATAATCAGCATCCCAACGTGCAGGACTGGCGGCAACTTTGGATTTGCGACTCGAACGGTGCAAAGATGATGTTGTCCTGACCTGCCATGCTGAAGAGCTTCTTGAAGGTTACGCGTGGCGCTGGACACTGCCAGTATGCCGAAGAGCGGTACGTGGAGCATTGCCGCGCTGGCCGATTTTCCCGGCTTCCAAGCCTCGTCGAAAAGCAGGCACGCAATGGCACAATGCTTGGGGCCGTTTTCTATGACCTTCACGCCAGCAAATGCCAGCGCTGATGGGAGTGTCCTGTCACATGGGCTCGTAAGGCTCCTCGCCTTCACCGTTTTGCAGTCCGGACAAAAGCCGAATCTCATCGTATCTGTCCGTCCGCGTATATGTATATGCGTGTGTATGCTCCTGCATGTGTGGGCATGTCACGTGACGCATACTGGACACGCAATCGAGAACGTCAACCCGGCCCGAAACATAGAAGTTGGAGCTTTCAAGCGCGAAGGAGTTGTTTGGGCGCACCATCACGCAGACCCTTCAAGAAGTCTTTGCCAAGTGCGGCTTGTACATCAACAAGGCCACCCGGGGGAGAGAGGGAGAGAGAGAGAAGAGAGCTGACATGCCTTTGTCGTCTGGGGAGGGTGGCTCTGGGTTAGATCGAGCAGTGATGGTGAATTTGTACAGTATTGTGACCATGTTCTGCATTTATAATTTACATTAACATTGATGCATTTGCATTGACGGCTGAAGGGCTGAACACGGCCATGCTGATCCTGAGGATGGCAAAGGCGATGTTGATGTCGAGTCTGGTGCTGATTTCTGATGTCGCAAGCGATGCCGGCGATGATGATTCAATGATGGTGATGATGATGACGATGATGATGGTGATGGTACGATTATAGTGAGTAACGACACTGTGGTTAATGATTTGATGATGATGACGACGACGACGATGACCAGCGTGTGATGAGAGCTGTGGTGGTAGCTGGTGGCTATGGTGGAGGTGATGGCGACAGTGATGGTGATGAACTGGGAGCCCATGAGAGTGTTGATGACCGTGGTCAAGGCTGTTGATGCTCGCAATGCTATTGGTTCTGATTTCTGTTTGGCCCCCGGGTTTCTGGTCATGGCTGTCCGCGAACCATGGCAACTGGAAGAGGTACGTCGGTCTCCTCATCTTGAGAGCTTGATCCAGTTCGTTCCGGGGCGGCTCTGGCTGCAGGAAGTCATAGGCGCCGTTTACTTTCCTGAGTTCCTTTGCAACACTACGAATACACGGGCAAGACGTGCAAGCAGACTATTGTAAGGCACTTGAAAGTGTCGGTTGTCGGTGTCGTGAACAACTAAGAACGTCGACATTTGCATGCTCTTGTAGCCCCAGGATGCTACGGAACCGAGCCCCAATGTCGTTTTAAGCAGTGGGTGAGTCCCAGCTTTTGGCAGTCATCGCATGCACTTCTCGAAGAGTCTACTCACAAATTCTGGCTTCATCTTGCCTCAGTTTCGTGCCTAACACCCCGTCGGCAAGGACAGAAGAGAACTAACGTGGTATGGACATCCGCTAAGGCTGGGGCCCCGCAAGGCGAGGATCTTTCACAAGGTGCTGACAGACTCTGCGCACCCCCCAGGGGTTTGCTGTCTTGCGGTCTAAAGGTTGCGTTTCTTGGGCTCACGGCAGGCTTGTCGGCAGAATTAGTATCGACTTGGGCTTTGATGCTCTCCTCCGCACGGCAGAAGGTTTTGTAGGAGATAGAGCTTTAGAGGTGCGTCTCAGCCCGACGGCGTGGAGCATCGCCTTCTGTTGGGTTCTGTGATTGTGCCTTAATGCCTTTTGTTTGGAGAAGCAGCCAAGCAGACGTTCACGCTCAGTTCACTTCCGGGCTCGGGCCCTGTGGCTCTTCAAGCGGCTCAGGTGAAATCCCGTGCGACAGTACAGGACATCATGTCCAAGCAGCTGGGCGTGCAGGACGTGTCTTCGAATCGTGGTCGCTTCTGCGCCACGGGCCGAAGGCCCTGAGCCGTAGATTTCACGTAAATGGCTGCAATATGCTGCAATGCTGCAAGTACCTGAGAGCGAAGTCGGGCATGTCCCAAAGCTCCAGTCGTAAGCTTTTCGATGAAGAGCGTCGAAGGACGCTGAAAACAACGCAGTCCTCAAGAACATGTACCCCTTCATGAAGTGGCTTGGCTTCATGTGGGCACTTTCTGTGAAACTGAACCCCGGATAGTGTCCTAGAGTTTCTCCGACTGACCTTCGGACCAGCTGGTCTGCCAATGAAGAACACGATACAACTTACACACGGCGTGTTGGGCATAGTGCAGACAACGCGCAACTTGCACACTTCAGGTTGGCAATACTCAAGATATGGGGCCTTCAACGGCCACTGCATCTATGCTTCCTGGACAGACCAAGGATCCAGCCGGATTTCCGTGATGGTTGGCTGGGCAGAGACAGAGAAGAGTGTGCTAGTAGTGCCCTGAGCATGCGAACTTCTTGATCTGTCCATGTGCCCGACATACAGCAAGTCTGCTGCGGTTCTGGCTCTTCTTGGCCAAGGTCTTGAGCGTGTGCGAATTGCACCTCAACTGTACCACTGGGTCCTGCACTCAGCGGTTCTAACTCAAATAATGATACTCGCAGGGTAGTGTCTGAAAGTCATTGAAAGTCCACGTCAGACCTCGCATGATGGCGCGCAGATATTTCGCACATTTACAGACGAAACCTGCCGAGGGCTGCAATGCCTGCATACTTGGCCAGGCTGCATGGTCCGGTATTGTCCTCCCAACCTGACACGTGCTCTTGGAACGACGTCTCGAAGATTTTTAGATTTTGGTCGGACCAGCAAAGCGCAGGCGCAGGCACCAAGAAGCCCCGTCAAGGCTCATACTTCAGCCCCCCAGCATCAGTACTGCGAGTATTCCCGCGAAGTCTACTAATCAATGGCAGGCAGCCATATGGACACCGCAACCCAACAGGCTCAAGCCTAAACCCACGACAGCCCGCATCAATCCCTGAACCGCCTGAGCCGTACTACTCCGAGCCCCAGCCTGCGAGGTCAATGCGCTTTGCAAGGACGCATTACTGGCCCAGTCCGACAAGAATGTCGATGACACGAAGGAGGAGCCTCGGATCACACTTGGGTTGCAGAGGACTGAGGCTTCTGGGCTTTGGATTTGGCAGGTGCAGGATGCACGCTAGCAGGATAGGCGTTGATTGGGGTATTTCGGACTGGGTGATGTGGTAAATGCTCCGAGAAACTTTTAGGTTCAACCTGCCTAGAAGACTTGACTTTGCAGTGTGCCAGGCTGTATAGAGGGATGGTGGAGTCTGGAGGTCAAGGAGGTGCTGTTTGACGGTCGGTAAACTTCTGGCATAAAGCTGCTTAGGGCTTAATCCACCCAGCTGGACCAAGTCTTAAATCCTGTGCCGCAAGTCCCGCAATTGTTCCCAGGAAGACATGGAAGGTGACCTGGTGGGGCCAGGAACTTGAACTCTCGATTCTGCTCGGCTTGCGCCATTGCGCTGTGACAGAGGCTAAATGTAGTGAAAGGCGCTAGGCTTCTCGAGTTTAAAGCATGGGATCGATGCTGACTCGACTGTTCACAAAGACCCCCCTTGCCTTGTTTATTGAGGCGGGTCATGGACTTGCTGCGCAGCGACGCGAACTTCGTCAATGTGATCCAGGCCACGATCTAGCATAGCTCGCGTGACAAACAGATTTGTTGTAGGGGGGATTCGTCGCAGAGCCGGGACTAAGACTGCCAAAAACGCCACCGCGCGATGTCAGGATCAGGACTGGAGCACATGGCACGAGCGAGCAGGCGAAGCCACTTCTTGGTTCGTTGGTTCGTTCCGTTTGTCAGAGTGCAAAAGGTGGTTTGTGAGCCGATCTGAGCGTCAAGAACCGAGTCCTCAGAGTTCTTCGGAGTGCCTGTGGACATCTCCCTATATTTTTACGCATTCACCGCATCCACACTCGGGAGAAGCCTAGCAACTGGCGACTAGTATCAGCCCAAAGTGACTCTCTGTTGCAGCTGGCAGCTTGCTGTCGCTCTGCCTCTGTGTGTGTGCCTGCCTCGGCAAATCCTATTGCCCGAAAGGCTTCATGAGGATTAGCTTCTTCTGCTGTACAAAGCTCCCCGGTGAACTGTTGCTGCCAAATCAACATCGGCCGGCACGTGTGTTTTCACCAACTGGTGTGTTTTGGATGTTCAGGAGAACGTGTTTGCAAAGGCCGCCCGCCCCGGGATCCCAAATCCTAGATAGCTTAGTCACGTTTGCGACTTCGCTGCTGCTAGGCGAGATGAACGTTCCGGACTCGGCCAACTTGGACAAACTCTTCGAGACAATCCTTGAAGAGCTCCAGGAGCCCTACAAGGACTGAGACTCTTTGTAAGATACCAAAGTAGTAAGAAGATCGACTGGCATGCACCTTTAGTATGTAGCAGTGGCATGCAGACTTGCGAGAATAAAATACCTGGGCAGTGCAATCTGTTGTCCTCACCGTAGATACAGCTCTTTGTCCAAGCACGTGTTGATTTTGTCCGCGCTTTACCACCTTACGTCCATCAGGATGTCGTCCAATTTGGTTTGTATTGTCTTGGAATGCTGTACTGTGTAGAAAGACTTGCTACAGCGCCACAAGGGAGTCCAGAGCGATTGGGCACTCGGTTTCAGGAACATATTCTCCCATCCAGACCTAACGAGGAGCAGCAACAGCATTACCAACAAATGGCCCTCACATTGCTGCGCATGCACATCGTGTCGTTCTTCAGGTTGCTTCAGTGGTCCACACGGCCTGGGTTTTCTTGAGGCAGCCGTTTGAATAATCTGTGTACTCTCCCAACGATCTTTCCACCGAACGAGGGGGACTGGCGGAACGACAAGAGGCGCGGAACGGCAGCAATACATACAACAGCGGAAGGTCGCCAAGCTCGGAAGCCGGCCATTCCAGTTGAATCATCGCACTGGCTGCTATCATCCGCTCCTCCGTCCGGTCGAACTGCTCGCTTCGAAGCAGTCGGGTGCACTCTGGCCCCCTACAGCGACTGCCACAAGGAATTGTTTTTCGCACCGTGCCCGCAAAACGCGGCAACCCAACTCGTGACCACCGTGACCACAGTAGCAGACACTGGCAAACGGGCCTTCAATGTTTGACGGTGTGTAGGGATCCTCTGGTCAGTGTACCTGAACCCCCCTCCCGAAAGGCCCGCGTTTTGGCTGCCTGACGGCTTGAAAAACTCAGGATGCAAGGATTCATCGCTAAGCTTGGCATGTACCAAGCACAAATCGTCGAACCCTCGAACCACGAACCCCAAGTCCTGAATGTTAAACCACCAAGCTCTGCAGCCCTTCTGCCAGACTTCTCCTGTTCCTATGACCAGGACAACCGCCAGGTTGAGGAGAACGAGATGCCAGGTACTGAACTGCTGGGACCTGAGGTCATGCTGACATTCGTACTGGTACAGTGCTCCGCACCTCGTGTACACATATGTATGTATATATATGTGTATATATATATATATTTATATGTATATATGCAGCATGCATGCATGTGCGCATACAGTTACATACATACATACATACATACATACATGCATACATACCTACATACATACATACATACATGCATACATACACATACACATACACATACACATACACATACACATACACATGCACATGCACATGCACATATATACACATACATGCATGCTTGCATGCACATTAACATACATACACATACATACATGCT